GGATTCTGGGGAGGGACCTTCATCAGGGACTGGAGCGATAGGACAAGGTGTGATGGGTTCAAACTTAAACAGGGGAAGTTCAGGTTGGATATAAGGAAGAAGTTCTTTACCGTGAGGGTGCTGAGGCGCTGGCACAGGGTGCCCAGAGAAGTGGTAAATGCCCCATCCCTGACAGTGTTCAAGGCCAGGTTGGACGGGGTCTTGAGCAGCATGGTCTAGTGTGAGGTGTCCCTGCCCATGGCAGGGGGTTGGAACTGGATGATCTTAAGGCCCTTTTCCAACCCAAACCATTCTGTGATTCTATGATTCCTCTTCTGAAAGACATCTGAGCTGCAAAAAGCTCTTCCAGCAAAAAGTTAATCCAGACTAAACCGTTTCCCCCAAACTGGTCTCCTTTAGCATTTCTGAGGTGTATTTTAGCAAGAGTAATTCCCAGTTGCTCCCCTGTACAACAGTGCAAGAGAAGCCGCTGCCCGAGCTGAGAGGCCACAATTCATTACCCTTCTTGTAAACAGGCACCAAATCCCTGAGTGTTTTGTGCCTTGGATGTCCATGGCAGGGCTGAAGCTCCCACCAACTCCCACCCATCCCAGTGTGAGGCTGGGATTTCCCAGTGTCCAGGGGTGTGAGCATCTTCCTTCCGCACAGGGCTCATGACGGGCAAGTGTGTGCATTTCAACAGCTCTGTGAAGACCTGTGAGATCTTTGGCTGGTGCCCTGTTGAAGTCGATGACCACGTTCCCAGGTAAGGAATGATGTTGTTGCCCCATTTTCCGCCCTGGTCCCACCCAAGCTGCACCAGCAGCACTCAGTATAGGGCAGAGCAAGATGGGGTTGTCCCCCAACAGACACTTCCATCCTTCCTTAGGGCTTTTCTGAACCTTGTTGGGATCTTTCACTTAGAAAGGGAAGGGATGAGATCACTGTTTTTTCTGGGTCCTGCACATTCCAGTTTGGATGAATTCCCACCAAATGGGGCTTTTCCTACACACTAGAGAGCTGAATGATGGACACTGGTCAACACTTGTGTTTTTCAGCCCTGCCCTGTTGTCAGAAGCGGAGAAGTTCACCTTGTTCATCAAGAACAGCATCACCTTCCCCAGGTTCAAGGTGTCCAGGTAAGGAGAGGTTCAGGGGATGGCTTCTGCTCGGTTCCCTCAGGGGAATCCATGGGTGTATCCGGATGCTTGGCATAGAGGATGCTGTCCCTCATTAGCAAGCCCAGGACTGCTCTATCTGTCCCACCTCAGCTGGTAGCTGTGGTTACAGGAAAGGCTTCTGGAATTAATGGCTCCTGAGTTACCCTCACATGATGCACAGGAAAATACAGCTTCTCTGAGTCTTCATTTTGATTCTCCCTTTTTCTTCCTGAAGACATCAGTAAAATACTACATGGCACAGCAGGGGGGTGAGCAGCCAGACAAGCTTGGTGCCTCAAAATGAGCAGAGGCCCCTCTTAACACCACAGTTCCCACCTGCTCCTGCACTGGGTTAATGCCTGGATGGGTTGTCCCCTTCCAGCTAAGGGTACACGTGAGAGGATTTGTGATGACACTAGTTAGAGATCTGATTTGGAACGAATTAACAGGAGCTGTTTGTGCTGAAGGTAGTGGATTCTTCTTTCTAAGCTGATCACATCCCTGTGCTGTAGCCAAGGTTAAATGCCCTGGCAGCCAGCATGCTTGGCAAAGTCTTGAGCTGACCCCACACTGCACCCCAAGAGGTGTCTGGGAGAGGGGATCCCCACCAGCAGCAAGGAGAGGTGGTGACCTGAGCAAGGACAGGCAGGAGAGGGGACGAGGTGGGGGGAGCAGGTCCTGGGAGGTGAGGGCAGCCGGGCTGGCTGCTGCTGCAGGGGCTGAGCTGGAGCTCGCTGGGGTCACAGGGAAACTTCCTGCCTTTGATCACTGCTGCTAATTACGCACCCAACATAAATGATGGGACAGGGTTGAGCAAAGCACAAGTCTTATAAAATCATCTGGGTCAGGGAAGCATCACAAGAAGACTATTTTTAAGCAAAAGAGCAGAATGGGGTGGAAGGCAAAGCACTGTCCTTTCTCTTTCACCCTTTCTGGAGGACATAGATAGCAAAATCCAGCTAAGCGTAAAAGCTGTGGGATATACTACCCATGAGCTGTCCCAGCTGAAAATTATTGGTGCTTGGAGCATTGCCTGGCAGAACCCAGGGATGAGCTGATATGCGAATGGGAGAGGCAGCTGGGAGAGATGCTGGAGGCCATGGGAGGGTTTGCAAAGCTGAGAAATGAGAGAGGGGGTTGCTAGAAGAGGTGAGGACAGACACGTGCTGGGTTTGGGCAGCAGGCAAAGCAGCAGACTCAAAGCAGAGGTGGAGAACATCTGCAGGAAAGACAATGGCAGAAACACTCCTTCATAGGAGAAGGTTCAGGGGAAATGAGTTGCTGATGGGGTGGGAGAAACCAGGCAGGGCTGAAGGGAAAGGGTCTGATGAGCATTTTAGGGAGGAGGTCCTGAACTTTGACATTACCTGGCTTTAGGTTAGTTGGAATAGTAGCAATAGGTTGAACCAGGGACCTCCAGAGGTCCTTTCCCACCCAAATTATTGAGTTATTCAGACTCATTCTCTTTTCATTCCCAGACGCAACTTGGTCGAGAGCGTTACCAAACAGTACCTGAAGAAGTGCACCTATCACAAAGTCACCGATTCCTTATGCCCCGTGTTTGACCTGGGATACATAGTGAAGGAGTCGGGTCAGAATTTTACCTTCCTGGCTGTTAAGGTACTTCAATTTCAAGTGATGTTTCTGGCGGACATGGGGAGGGAGACACTGACAGAGCAATCATCCCCAGGCTCTTGAGACACAAGGGATCTGTCGTGTCAAGGACTTGTGAGGCAGGGCCAGAATTAGCTCTTAAAGATTATGAATCTCCTTGGACATGGCCTAATATCTAAGCCTTTCTTGGAAACTCCCCTGTAAGGTTGACAAGATTTGACTTGCTGGCAGTAAATCCAGGGTTTAGTTTGATTTTAATTTGTGCAATGAATGACTAGAGCTGCACGGCCAAATCCCATCCGACTGAGCTTGGAAACCTCGGCTGGATGGTCAAACATCGGTCATTGCACACTGCAAACTGCTGCATCTCCCCAGGCACAGGATGCAGATCAGGAACAAGAGGGCATGAGTTTAGTTGTGTATCCAATGTTTAGGGTGGAAGCAAGCGTCTCCACATAGGGTGATATATAGGGCACAAAACCAAGGCTGGCCAGAAGGGCTGAGGCAGTAGCGGGGTCCATGTTCCCTGGAGAGCCAGGACACCTCATAGTATCAAGAAAGGCCACGTATGAAGAGGGAAAGCATTTCATCATGTGGGCCAAAACCAAGGAGGGGCAACGTGGTGACTCCCCTCTCGGCTGCAGGGTGGCGTTGTGGGCATCACCATAGACTGGAACTGTGACCTCGACTGGCCCATCCGGCACTGCAAACCCATTTACCAGTTCCACGGCCTTTACAATGATGACAGTAATGTTTCACCAGGCTTCAACTTCAGGTAAGAAGACCCCTGTTAACTCTCCAGGCAGAATTCTGAGGTGACATCTTTGAGGATGCCACAGCACTCAAAGGATGGTGGAAGATCAGGGACTGCTCTTCCAAACACGGTCTTTGCAGTGCTCCTTTTAGAATGGCTTGAGAAAAGTGATAACCCATCCCTTGGCCTCAAAACTACCCCATTGCCTTTCCCTGTACCTCTCCTCCCAGCCCTTGCACACTATCCTGCTCGGCTGAGCTCTAGGGAAGCCCCTTGAAAGACTGGAGATGGTGCAGGGTCATCTCGTGTGTCCCCACACTTCGAACCATTCAGCCTCAGTCATGAGCTGCTGATCTAACTGCTGCTTTGTGTGGAGCTGCCACTAGTTCTGCACTAATATCTGCTCTTACACAGCACCTGGAGCCACCGGGTATCAGCACAAGCAGGAGCTTGAACTGCAACTCGAAGGCAGGGAAACTGAGGCACGGAGGGGAGAGGTGCCAACAGCCCAGCTCCTATAGGGTTATGGAGAGGGTCAGGAGCGGGTCTGTGACAGCACATCCCCAGATCTTTGTCCCGCTCTGCAGCCCACCAAGGTCCCAATGCTGTTGGGTTGCAGGAGGCTCTTAGACACCCTGCCAGGCCACTAACGCTCACCATCCAATTGGGCAGGTATGCCAAATACTACAAGGAAAATGGGGTGGACAAGAGGACGCTCTACAAGGTGTTTGGGATCCGGTTTGACATCCTGGTGAATGGCAAGGTAAGGATGGCCAGGCCCTGGTTCATCCCTGGATCCCTGGGATGGCAGTGCCACGTCCTCAGGAAGGTACCAGCTCTGTAACACAGCACTGGGGTCTTGTGGGGCCAGGAGAATGAGCCTGAGTGGTTCGCTTGGGTGTTGGCCTGATCACAGCAGCCCTAGGGAGGTGCCAGGGAAGAGAACATAGAGGGGAAGCCCATTTTACAGGTCACATCTATCAGCTGCAGTTTGGGCAGTGGTTTGGTTCCAAAAAGCATCATGATGGGTTGGGCGGAACTATGGAAAGTCAAAAGCCTTTTCTGGTATTTCCAAAAGTTGAACATTTGCCTTTTTCTGTTTTGTCTTTTTCTTCCAACTGGGAGAGAAGGCTTTCTTTGTTGTGTTCCACTGGGAATATTTAACGTGTGTGTGTGTATATATATATCTATATATAATTTTTTATATATATACTTAGAGATATGTGTATAAATAAATAAATAATACCGGAAGCAAAGTAATTTCAACTTGTGTCAGCCTAAAACCAACCTACCATGTTTTTCTGTTTGACCTATGAGCTTAAAACCAGCTCCTCTTTCAGTGCTGTGGTTGCGATTTGGGTTGCTGCAAAGGCACTTTAGCTGAACGCCACCTACAGCTCTGGCCCCCTTTTACTACTTTTGTTTTTCCCCAGGGCTGACTGTCACATATCACCCATTTTCTCTGGTTTTATCCAGGCAGGCAAATTTGACATCATCCCCACCATGACCACCATTGGCTCCGGAATTGGTATTTTTGGAGTGGTAAGTTCAGATATTTCCAAGCCTCTATATGGAGACTCTCATTATTCTTCTTGTCTGTGACATCCATGGAGAAGTGTCCCTGAGCTGCACTGAAATACTGGTTCATGCTCAGGCAACAGGGGATGGGCAAAAGGGGGAAAGGAGGTGCCCTCCTGCCTTGCGAGCTCGGGAGAACAGATTCCTGCCAACCACCAGCTGATGTATCTTCCCAGCTTCAAGTAAGAGTTATTGAGGGGGGTTTGGAGGTAATGGGCAGTATTTCATGCATGAGAGAAAACCAGGACCCTATTTCAATTACGGTCATTAAAGACTTTGGCATGACCTGAAGGGTGTTGTGCTCTGCATGTACCTAGACTAGAACCAATTTCTGTTGGCTTAAATTGCTCAGTATTGAACCCAGCACACTTCACTTCTGTCCCACATGGACATTCGGGGGTTGCACACCCTTCAACAGCTGCTAAGTGGTGGGTTGAAGCAGAAGTGACCCTCATTTGTGGGGCAAACTGGAAGGAGGTGGCACAAGTGATCTGGGAGGGCTTTGATTTAAGGCCTCTGTCCTCTGCGACCTGCTCCTGCTGCACTTTCTCCAAGGACGCGACTATTACAAGCAGAAGAAATTCAAATACGCAGAACAGGAGCCTGTAAGTCCCTGCCCTGCAGAGGCTTTTGTGGGTGTGTGAGTGGGGATGTGTGCGTGACACAACATTCATACCGAGCAGCAACCAGGTGCTTTCCTGAGCTAGTGGGAATCCCGAGCCCTTGGGACTGTCAGGGTTACTGGGGTCCATGAATGTCCTCTCCAAAAGGAGACATCTTCTGTGTGTGACTCACTGTTAATAGCTTTATTCCCTCCCTTTATGCCCAGATATTCCAGTATCTGGTAACACTTGCGTTGCTTTGAGAAGCAAGGGCAGACCAGTGCTTTAGTAAACTGGGAAATGTCCCCTCTTCTGCTTCCTGAGAACACCTTCATGACTGTGGGATGTTTTGTGGCCTTTCATAAGGCATGAAAACAGCTCCCCTCAAATTCAGCTGAAAACATGCTTATGCACAGGGGGTTAGAAGCTGCTCTTCAACCACGTTTTTCCTGGCATTAGAAAGGGGCAAGTCTGCAAAGGAGTCATTGTTTTGTCTCATTTAACCCCCAGTCGAAGTCGCATAAGAAGGAAAAGGAGCTGGACAACGCACAGTGAGAGGTGAGTGGTGTTTCTGCAGCCCTGCTAGCATACAGCATATGGGTCCTGTGGCTATCCCAAGGCCCTTGGGAAGGCAGCAGGGCTCCAGGGAAGGCATGGAGGAGATCTGAGCTGTGGGCTGCAATGTCTAACCTGGTGCCAGCATTTCCCAGGGCAGGCAAGAGCACAGGGCAGCACTGTGTGCAGGATGTGGGATTGACATCATGTCTTCAATGGCAGCGTCTCTTGAAGAGGGACAGTATGGGGCAAGACACCAGAAATCACCGTGCACCTTTCTCTCTTGGCAGAATCCACAATGACTAACAGACCTGCACTCTCTTCTTCCTTCTCCTCTCCTAAAACATGGTCATCATCCCCTGTCACCACCCTGCGCCAGCCCCAAGACCAGCAGGAGCAGTGTCCAACACCAGCTCAAGGGAACATGGCACCCTGCAGCCAGGGCAGGGTCCGGCCGGCCCAGCACCCTGCCTCTGGCGGGACACACTGCAATGCTGAGGGAGCGAAGGGACCTTGGGCCCCTCCCCCAGCCCTGGTGCACCCTGCCTCGTGTGCTGGGGCCGTGCCAGGGCACCCTGCACCTGAAGCCCCTGGGAGAGCATCGCTGCCTGTCCTTCCCCAGCAGCACCCTTGGAGAGCTCCAAATTGAGGAGAAGGGGAAGGAAAGAGAGCAGGCAAGAACCCTGCCCAGTCCCTCAGCATGGGAGAAAACCCGGTTATTTTGTAAGGATGTATTTTATTAAAGAAAATAAACCTTTAGTTTTTCTACTACATCCCTTTGCGGTGCCCATGCTTGCCCCGGGTGTGGGGTACGCGGTGCTTTGCGGCACTGGGGGGTTTGTGCACGCAAAGCAGTCCTGTCCATCAGGGTGGAGCATGAGGCTTTCTGTGCAGGCTCCCCTGGGCTCTGCCCTCCCCTGCAGGGCCCCTGGGCCTCTGGCCACGAGCAGAGGTTGTTATCAGGGTTGTCACTTGGGTTTCCTCCTCACACAGGCTGGCTGGTGGAGAGCACTGGCACGCTGCCGGCCATCGAGAACGGCTGCCCTGAGCCAGCTCTGTCTCCTGCTGCCCATGGTCGTCGGTGTTAGCTGGTCAGAACGGACCTGCTTGGCTTTAGCCTCACAGACCAGGTCTCTGCACCCTGCAACGCAGCTTCCCCTCTCTGCTGGAAGATTTGCACCGCTCTGTGTGTGCGGTTGGACCCAAGCTCTGAGCAGACGCTGCCCTGTGCTGCTGGCTCTGTTCAGTTCTCTAGGATGCATCAGCACAGGCTCTCCCCAAAGTCTCTCTCTGAACGTTGTTTTGCTTTTTCTGGAGGAGATTTTGCCTTGGTCGCTTCAAAACTGGATCCCAGCTGCTGTGGGAAAGTCAGTGAAGAAGGCACAGGGATTGCTCTGCCTGTGGCTGTAACGCTGCTGGCTGGGGGGGGGGGGCCCAGGCCGTGGGGGGG